CCAAGTAAATCAACGCATTACACTTTGTAATGTGGCTGAATGGGCAGGAGGAGTGAGTTAAGGGAAGAGTGCTTGGGTGTAAGTGCAAATGCAGTGATAATGCCAATAATTCAATTATCCTGCTGCGCTCGTCCGTCGCCTGTTGCCACCCTTAGCTGCTTGTCCTGGTCTGGCTTATTGTTATTGCCAAATCGAGTGACTAGTGACTGGCTGATATTGCTGCTTGCAACTTACAACTCCAGAGATTGCAGCCACTCGTATTAAGAAGTCACTTAGCTGACAGCCAGATAACAAGGAGCTGCAGGAGCCGAGTTGAAGGAGCAGGCAGGACGTCCTGCACAGCAGGGTGTAAATTGAAAACAATAGTTGCAATCCCAGCGACACACGAAACGTATCAATCTGTGTGTAATCTCCAGGCAGGCAGGCATGTGTATAAATATATATAAACAAAAGGATACGGGAAACTTTCATGGGAATATAGTTCAGGAGCTTTAATTATCAGAACTTTTTCGTGACACCAACAAGGGGTTATGATATGGTTTTTAGTTTAGTTTAAAGGGTTGACGTTTAATGGGAGTTTATACCCATTTCAACAGCTTTTAGATATCAGAATTTTACTGGGTTACACTTTTAGTTTCAAAGGGTTGTTAGATCAAAATCAGAATATTAATTAGATTATACGAACATGCGTGGGCCTAGAATCCTTTGAATCCTTTAGGTGGTGTGTCTTATCTATGAGGGAAAAATAATTATACGCATAAATCAAAAAGAATCGAATTTATGTTCCTTTTTTAATGGGAAAAGAGCATCTGCCAATTAACAGGGAATCTTTAATGTTCCAGCCTCAACTTAAAGTGCTTTCTTGGTTGCCACTTCAGGGCGGCATTAATTGTCGGCATAATTTCATTACGTTTCGTTCATTAAAACTTTCAAAATGGAGGCAGACGAGGACACAAATGGAAAACGGAAAAATGTTCGGGCCACATTTCCCCAGGGGTGAGGGCTTAAGGCTTTCCACAGCCTACCCCTCCTATTTCTCGTTCTCCGTGGAATTATGGCTCATTAAATGACATAATGCAGGCGGAGACGAAGCCGAAATTGTATTTGCGCTGCTGCGTCTACATATTTCGGCAAAAGGCAGATGCTCCTTGGTCCTTGTTTCTTGGTCCTTAGTCCCTGGCTAGAGTCAGTCTCTCCTCTCCAGCTCCTTGGCGAAACCGCAAGGCGATTGCCGCCCGCTGGCGTCTGCTAATGTCTTTCTAATACACAGACACGCACCAAGGACGAGGACACACTTACTCTCAGATGCGTGGAAATCGCAGCGGGACATCCAGGACACTTTGCAGACATGTGCGTGGCATAATAGTCTTGGCTTGATTTTTCTTCCTGGGCCTCCTCTATTCCTATACCAATTCCTTGAGGCTTCTGTGTGTGTGCGCCTTAACTGCCGTTGCGTCTTTTTCAATTACACACATAATTAAATATGTTCCGCCCCTCCCCCATACCGAAGGCGAAGGCGTGGCATCCCGCGGGGATGTGTGTGTGCCCGGGCAGGACAAATACTCGAAATCTCTCCCAATTGTGCGATATTCCCCCTGCCATCCATTCCTCCTGTCATGCCGCATTTGTAGACTTTAATAAACATGCTGGATAATTAAATTTAATCGCATGCTTTTATTTTACATTAGCATGTGTGCCAGCATAACACACACACACCCTGCACTCCACACAGACTCTATTTGCTGTGGCCAAATTCAATTTGCCACCAAAGTCCTGGATCGCCTGGTCCTGTCCTTGGGCAAACATTTCATCTCATCCTGTTTGGCTCAAAATTTTATTTGCTCCGGCCACACACAATGGGAACTCGAATGCTCTAGACTAGGCAAACAATTTGTGGTTAGATAATTGCAAAAATTTAAGGATTCCGTTCTCTCGTCTCTTTTTTTTAATCCTCCTCTGGCTTAGCTTCAGCTCCAACTTCCATCCGGATGGTGGTGAAGCTTCTTCTATAATTTGTTTAGCCCAAAAGTGTGCGATGGCATCTCTCTCTCATCTCCATCTGCTGAATCTCTCCGGGTAATCTGTGGTCCAATAAATTTATGCCGAAATATGTCTATTCGCTTTTTACTTTTTTTTTTGCGGCTTGTCAAAATCCAGGTTCCACTTTGCCGGGGGATATAAATACAATTTGCAGGTTTTAATAACCGCAGCTGTCACCACATCGCCTAAGTGCAGCGCATAAACCAGCTCAGCCTGGCTCAGAACAAAAATATATGTATGTATATAGAAGAAATGTGTTGCAGAAAGGGCAATGGGAAATGGAGAACCACAATTTAAGATCAGAAACAGAAAACGGGAACAGAAACAGGAATAGAAAACGAAACACAAGGCAGACCAGGGCCACGGAAATGAAGATTTTTATGTGGCCCAAAGTGGAGCAACATAAATTGCTGGCAAAAAGTGCGCAAAAGTGTTTTGTTGTCACCCCTCGTACCAGTTACATGGGAAATGGGAAATGGGAAATGTGGAATGGGAAATGGGAAATGGGGAATGGGGGATGGAGTCCGTGCTCCCGCACATCCTTGGCGGGCAAATAAATTTCTATTAAACACAAATGAGCAACAAAAAGTTTTCTTAGAAAAGTTTTATCCCCGCACACTCATATATATATTTAGCACACACACATCAGTGACAGAGAAATGTGTATTTTTTCCTTTTTCGCCTGGCAGAACTTTGTGCCAACAATAATTATGTTGATTACAACAAAGAGGCAACTTTTGCCCTCTTCAATCTGCTGCTAAGTGTTCTTCTTCTTAAATTTGGCCTGCTTAGTGCTCTCTCCAGCTCCTGTTTCTGCTCGAGGTCCTTCTTCTCAGCTTTTCCTGTTGTTAAGGGCTTAAGTAGGAAAACCGTCAATATCCATAATTATACACATACACTCACATACACGTTATGTTTACGGGTTATTATTCAACGTATTTACCTAGGAATTACTTCACATTAAATTCACACAAACAAAACAGGACTCTATACATTTTAGGCAAATTGATGGTCAGCAAGTGGTTGCAATTAGATTTTCCACTTATCAGCATTTAGTTTACACATTTTCAAACTAGATTTCCACCTGTGGTGGTGGAAATTAATTAAAATCCTAGTAACAAAACATCATCCTGCACTCATTAAACTAATTACTAAGCAACCCAGATAACGCATCATAATTAGCTTGATAATTGCGCTTCAGCCGTATTGTTTCGTTAACAAATGCTGCTGCTGTGCTAGCTGGCCTTTGTTTTTATAAATTGGCCAGGTCCTGAACCGCACACCCGCTGGCCATCCATCAGTTCAGGATGTATCCACTATACAGGGGAGTACTATATAGTAGTAGGAGCGAGGTCCTTGTTTGCCAGCAGCAATTTGAAAGTCGCGTCTAATCTTTGGCCTGTTGGCTCACGTGATTTGTTTGCAGCCTCGCCAGGAGCCAAAATCCAGGAGCAGCAGGAGTGGAAGGAGTGGAAGGAAGCGCGGCAGCGCATAAATCAAAATGCCATTTTTGATAGCACCTCCCTGGGCCACCTGCCACCCCCGAGACAATATATCAAATTGCCCTTGCATTGCTCGCGCATGTTACATTTTATTTAGATTTCTGCTCAAAGATTGCCTGCATTGTCTGAGTGGTGTGCAGCCAGCCGCCCATTAATCATGGCCGCAACGTGTTGAGGCCAAAGCCAAAAGTCTAAGCCCGATTCCAGTCCAGACTCCCAGACTCTCAGACTCTCTTGGCCATTATCCCGATTCATAAACCATTATAGTTTTCCCTGCGCCACGCTATTCGTGTTTCGCTTTCGCTACGACGCGACTTTCAGCAAAAAGGGTTCGGCGAAATTTATGTGTTGCAATTATTTTCTTGAAATAACACTTAAAGTGATTTACGCGTCCAGACCAAAGGCATGTGTGGAAAAATGGTCAAAAGCGGTGCTCTGTTCAAGAGAGACCCTTTTGCTGATGCTGCTGCTGCTTATTCCGCCTCATTGGGTTTTTCCTGCGTTTTGCATCGCACTTAATAAGATTTGTTGGTAGTAGCCCCTTAGCCCCCTTAAAATGGGGAATCTCAGGGATACACGGAAAGAAAACTATAGTTTAGCTTGGTGATTTCATTATTAAAGAGATTTGAAAGCAAAGAACAAGGAACTTTGAAGGTTTTTGCTTAGCCAAGCCTTTGTTATCACCTATCTCAATGGTATCATTTATAATTATACTATTTTATATATACAAACTTTGTTCTCTCTGTGCCAAAAAGGGTTTTATTCCCTTACCTTCCCTTCTGTACAAATGACTGAGCAAATTGCCGTTCATGTGTTCAATTTGTGGGTGACTTAAAGAGTCTCGCTTAAGTGGCAGACACAAGGGGCATCTGTACTACAAACACCCCAAACCCTTACCCACCTGGCGAACATATTGAAATCCGTTGCATCAAAGGGGCGTGGCAAGTGCCGGCGGCAACGGCATCGGCTGCTGTTGTGTGTGTGTTTGCAGTTTGCTGTTTGCCGTGTGCACACCACTCGCCGCGACGAGTTGCCAAATGAGTCCGCCCGAGTGGAGCGGAGATCAAAGGCATCGCCCATGCGCCCGCCGGCGAGTGCCTTCGTCCCTATGTCCTTGATTACAGGCTCTCCTCTTCGGTTCACTTTCATGTGCACTTAATTGTCGCCTCCATTAAGAGCAAAGCGACGGCACCCCGAAAGTATGCAACTGGCCATAAATTGAATGCGCAGAATTATTACCTGTAATTGCGGCAGGGCATAAAGCATAATTTGAAATTTATGTTTATGTTTATGCCCGCGGCCAGCGTCCCTAAATTATCGGCTTAATGTGCTCGAAAATGCCGGCAATGTGTAGCCGGCAAATTGAATTGGGCCAACCGCCATTAAGCCCCCACTTCTAATGGACCAACTTTCATGAACTCTCCTCCTCTAACGCTCTCTCTCTCTGCCTCGTTACAGACCTGCTACGAACTGGAACGCTATCTGCGGGACGAGCCCAAACTGCAGAAGAAGATCCACAGCAACACGGACAATGTCTGGGACATATTCTCCACGCCCGCCCGCCTGCTCGAGGAGCTGAAGATCAAGGAGCAGCACCTGGACACGATCTCGACGACCTCCTCGGTCTCGTCCATCTGCTCGGGCATCTCGTGGGACAGCAATGGCTCCCAGGCGCTCAGCTGCTCGGTGCTGGTCAAGCAGGAGCGGATCGACGAGGAGGACGACGAGGCGGGCTGCGACGACAAGCTGGGCGGGCTCTTTGCGGCGCCGCCCTCGGCCATCTCGCCCAACCCGAGCATTGGCAGTGCCGGCAACATGACGCCCACCAGCAACAGTAGCAGCAGCAGCAGCAGCAGCAGCAGCGGCAGTGCCACCTCCAGTGGCAGTGGCAACATCGTGGCCAGTCCCATGAGCAGCCTGGGCAGTGGCAGCACCATCACGGTCAGCTCGCGGAACAGCTCAGCGCCGGGCATTAAGGTGCGTGTGGTGCAGGCCAAGAGCCATCAGGGCAGCAGTGCCAGGCTGCAACTGGGCCATGTCCAGGACTTTGTGCTGCCTACACTCACGCCGCCCTCATCGCCGGAATCCAGCCTGCGTAGCCACAACTATGCCCAGCAGCTGGAGGCCAACGACCTGGCGGCTCTGATACAGCAGCAGCAGCAACAGCAGCAACAACAGCAGCAACAGCAGCAACAACAGCCACAGCATGTGGCAACATCCACGAGCAACTCCACACCCGCTACAGCAATCCTGCGCTTCAGCAGCCAGAGCAATCCCACGATGACCCAGCTGCAGCAACAGCAGCAGCAGCTGGCCGTCCAGCACCTGAGCATATCGCCGCAGGCCCTCGGCCACAGCAGCACCCTCTCGCCCAAAAGCAGCCTCAGCAGCCTCAGCAGCAGCAGCAGCAGCAGCCTGAGCAGCAGCTCCAGCTCCAGCTCTAGCTCCAGCGGCGCCAGCGACCCGTCTCCCCACAGCAACATTCCGCGCAGCACCATTGTCCGCCTGACGACGGCCAACGGGAAGCCGGGAGCGGCTGGCATCAGTCTGGCCCGCGTCATCCAGATGCAGAACAACGGCAATGCCAATGTTGCCGCCGTGCTCAGTGCAGCGGCCAACAGTAGCAGCAGCAGCAGCAGCAACAATAACAGCAGCAACACCAGCAGCAATACGGCAACACAGCAGCAACAGGTGCTGTCGCCGCGAGCTGAAAAGTCCTCAAACGGTAAGCAATTAAACTGAGACAATATGAACTCTAGATAAATTCCAGAAGAAGATGGTTAATTAAGTGAAGATCAAAGCATACAATATAAATTCCACCTGAATCATCATTCCATACATACGCTTGTGAATGCAATACCAGTAGCAACCCCTTGACCCAATTGACTTTTAACCTCTTCTACTCTTTTTTCTTGTTTGAAACCGCAGGCTCCTCGAAATCGCATCACCCGCGTCAACATCACAGCGATCACAGCCCGGATGCCAAGCGCCGGATACACAAGTGCCAATTTCTGGGCTGCAAAAAAGTCTACACCAAGAGCTCGCACCTGAAGGCCCACCAAAGAACGCACACAGGTGAGTTTTTTGGGGCTTGGCCCGAATATGGAATGTATGGAGTATGAATGTTCTGAATGCGATGAGTGTGCGAGTGGAGTGTGTGTGTGGGTGTGCGACTGACAGACACTCTTACAGTGGGGACAGACTTTCTGTCCGCAATTAAAAACGTGTGCCTTGGGAGTGGAGGGGGAGCTGGAAAAAACCAAACCTCAGCTCCTGCACTCTCCCTTACCTGCTGGGCCTGGAACAGGACTCACTCAGGCTTCCTCTCCGGCAGACCCCGCAATAAATCAGGGAGCTGCTGCGACAACAGTGTGTCCCCGACAGAGTCCCCGGGGACAGGCTGGAGTGACATGTTGCATTGTTTGCCCGACACCGTCCTTTGTCCACAGCCTTGCAGTCGCGGCGGTAAAACACGGGGAAAAACATGCAATGGGTTTGGCTTCAACTGCAGCGGCAACAGGAGTAGGATCATCCGGGGCTCGGTGCTCCGTCGCCGGCACCAGCACCGGCAATTGGGCACCAAAAAACAACCTCATCGCCTGACAGCAGGCGATGCTTGAAATTTCAATAAAAATCGCATAATTCAAACATGAAATATTGGTCACACACGCACACTCTCGCAGCACAGCGCGCCGTGGAGCCGGAGCCGGCGTTGAAATGTAATTTTATTACGACCGCATCCGAACACGAGAGAGCAAATCTATTGATTCGTCCTGCCACTGGATGTGTGTGCCAGTGTGTGCGTGCGGGCTTACAAGAGCTTTGCCAGCAAACACTTAACCCATAAAATAGAAAACCAAAATCCATTTCAAGTTCTGCCAAAAAAAAAAAATCCCAAAAACAAAAACCAAAATAAAATAGAAAGAGAAAAGTTTGCAGTTGTTGGCCAACAACATTTGTGCGCATTCAGTTAAAATTTTGTAGGGCGAGGAGGACTTTGCTCTCTCTCTCGGCCCGCTTTATGAATTTTGGTAGATTCATTCTTTGTTTTCGGTTGTCAGTGGTGTCTTCGGGGGGATCCTTTTTTGGGGTGGGACCAACAAATCATTTGGCACACACTCAAATGCCAGGCAAATGATTTTGCAATGTCTTTGCCAAACAATTCATACAGAAGATTGCTGACTTTTGGTTAGGCTCTGTTACACAGCGAGGAATTTATGTTGGTGTCTTAATTCTTTCAAAAAGCCGACTGAAAGAAACTGAAAAATGTAGAGAAATTTGTTTAAAATTTTCTAGGATATAAGTTTTACAATTTATGATAATTTAGCTTATTGAAATGATAGGGATTAAGTTTCTCTCTGTAGCATATTGTTCCATATTCAGTTCCGACTCGAGTATACCCTCGATGGGGATGGGTTTCGGGTCTGTTGTGTGTTTCTGTGGCTTTGCTTACTTATGCATGCAAGTGTTGGCATTCCCTCGACCCAAGTCCCTTTGCTGGCCAGGGCCAGCATGTTTTGTGAGCAAATGAAAGTCGGGCCTCGGATATTTCTCACTCGACAGCCGACAATGGATGTGTGGGCTTGTTTGTCCAGTGGCCGAATGTTGGTCAAAGTTGCTCTGTTCCTGCTTCCCAAATGGCCCCTGGAAGGCGTGGCCATCATCAGCACATAAGCCAGATTCATGTGCAGCTCAAGGCGATGATGGCCTCCTGGCTGCCAGCTCCTGACTCCTGACTCCTTTGACCCAGTCTCAAGCCGGCTATGTCAACAGCAACAACTTTCTGTGACAGCCGCAGGATATTGCTCAATTTATAAATTTGCTTTTGGCCCCCGGCTTCGGGGCTTAACATTTTAATTAACATTCAATTCCGGAGATGCTGCTGCTGCCTCTAGTTTTGTTTGCCTTGGCCGCAAGAAGCCCAAAAGCTGTTGTTGGTTCAATAAAAATCCATAACAGTCAAAGTTTTGCTCATAATTTTCCGTTTATTTTTTGCCCAAGACCCGAAACACCAAACAAAAATTTAGGAGCTGCTCATCGCCTTGTTGTTGAGTTTTTCTTGCCTGGTTTGTTGGCCCAACTGCTTTAAGTGTTAATTTTTGCCAGGAAAACTTCCATAGTTTTCCCGGACCCGACGACTTTTTAATTAATTACACATGTTCGCCGGTCGGTCTGGCGGGAGTGCAGCCGTAGGAGGGACGGGCGGAGATAGCGACGCTGCAAGGACGAAGGACCGGAACCCGGGGAGACCAATAAATCAAAAGCCAAGGTGTTGGCCCGACGATAAGATTGAAACATTTGATTTGGTGGCCCCCCAAAAAGTGGGGGGAAAAAAAATATAAAGAAAACGTTATGAAAGGAGCGGCGGGACCGAAAAAGGAAAACGTAATTATTTTAATGATACCATGGAGACCAGGCGAGGTTTTTAAATTAAAGAAAACCTAATGAATTACGTTTTTTGCATTCGAAATGAAAAGAGCTGAGAGCTGAATTTCATTAGAGCCTAGCGCCGATTCAGAGCGTTCTTTAAATTGTGTCGCTTTCGAGACCGGACGAGCATGCGAATAATTGATGACGAGCTATTATTTAGTTGCCAAACAGTGTCCTTGAACATTCGAGCGGTGGGGATTTTCGGGTGGGTTTAAGGACAGACAGTGAAATTAATTTGATTTGGGTTTTCGAGCGCACTTCCTGCGTTTCCTCCTGTGGCTTCCACTTCCACATTGCCATTTGCATGTCCATTTAATTAGAAAGCCATTGAACAACATCGCCATACGTATATACATATATATATATAAAATAAATGCACACTCTGACGGATATATATCGGCGCAATTGAATATCAATTAAAGCGGCATTCGCCGTACGAAATCCTCTTGCAAACTTTGGCCACAAACGATTTCAATTAGTTAAACGCAGGCGGCTATAAAAATGCCAGAGTGGCATGCAACCGGGAATCGGGATGAGAGACCGAGCTCGGGAAAAGCCAAGAAAAGCGCTGAGACGCTGAAACCGTTAAGAAAAGATTACAAGTGCAATCAAGTGAAAAGACGCAAACAGACCATAAAAATTGTGTTGAGTGCAAAAGCCGAGAAGGCATCGAGCCAAGGAGGCAAAAAGGGATGCCTGGAACTCAGCCCGGCTCCTCTGATCCCCCTCATCGCATGTCCATGTCCCCCGCCAGTGCATTCTTTCCTATTGCCGGCTGAAATTAAAACCCAACGCCAAGTGAAATTTATAAAATATTAACTGGCTCCTTCTGGCTGCTGCTGCAACTCTCTGCGCTTTTGCTAAGCGACTGCCGGAGGAGTAGAGGCAGTCCTTCCTGGCCGCCTCCTTATTGCCTTTAAACAATTTACAAGTGCTGGCTTTATGGCCTGCCAGGGCCACGGAATCGGAGCTGAAACTATCAATATATATATACAGACAAACGGCTGAGGTTAAGTTTTAACTGCGTTCGGCTCAATAAATTAACATGGCGACGTCTCGGCGCGATTGGAGGAAATAAAAGCGGGCGAGAATCGCTTAACCCAGTTGCCAATTGGCTGGCTGCCGTTTTTGGCCAGGTCTGCAGCGCATCCTATTGCATCCGCTAACAATGTCAGCTCAGATGGCTTGCCATGAAAACTAATTAAAAGGCAGGGAGTGAAAGCCATCTTGTTCCACATGCGCGGCCATTGCATACTTTTCAGCCTGGCCAAAAGTAATGGCCAATAGCCGCGGCCTGAGTAATAGCAGGATTGTGGAACTAGGACAAAAAGAGTATATCAGGCTAGATACCAATTCTAAATAATATTGTTAAAATACTATACATTTTATATAACAATTGATGCACTCTTTTAAAGTTCAATTCAGTTCAATGTTAAATATTTGTCAACTTATTTGAATAGAAGCTTCCTTAAGAGGGTATATTATCAGTCGGCTATTTATAGAACTTCTTCTCTATATTTTGTAGTTGGCTCGTTTCGGTTTCATTTCGTTTTTGGTTTCATTTCGCTTTCCCGAGCCACTTCAGTGGCCAGATAACATGGCCATTTTGGGTGCTTTATCGCAGCTTTTGCCCCCTCCGATTGCCGACGCCCCGCTGCCAGCTCTTTTGCCGTTTAAATGCACTTCAATACGAGACTCTTGGGGGTCGCATCCTAGATCTCTGGGCCTGCACTTTGTGCATTTGACGCTGATTTACACAGCCAGAGGTCTGCGGGGGAAGCCCCGAGTGGGGGCGAGTCACTGCACTGACCGGGGGAAAAGCCAGAGAGGAGGAAGATGGCCAAAAAATGCCAAAGACAACGATATGTGTGTTTGTGCAGCCGTTTATTTATGGCCAATGCTTCGATTCGCAAACAGTTCTGACAACATGCCAAAGCCCAAAATGGCAGTCGTCCGCACAGATTCACCAACCAAACTCTGTAGTATTCACTAGTATAATTTTATTGACAGAAAAACCAACAGAATCTTGGTGAGCTATCCAGCAATATACTTACGAAATACTCATATAACAACAATATATGCACGGGTAATAAACAAATAAATAAATTCATTTAACAACACATTAAACAAGATTAGATAATAACTTAGTGATTATTATACCCATGCTGTTTAATTATAGAATGCAATCGGAATTCGAATTCCGGATTAGTTTAAATATTCACATTCTTTGAGTTTTTAAAAACTCATAACTAAGCCAAAAATTCATCAATTTTATTTTGGAAACATATTTTTGCTAGTTTTTGTTAGGTTAACAAATCTGCATACTCAATTTTATAATTACAAAAATCAGATTTTTTTTGAAACTTTTTGACATTTTTAACGATTCAAAAAATCTAAAAAATTATTTTTCTTTAAAACATAGCTAAATCGATTCGGATTTTGATGCAGATCAAGAATATATATGATTTATAGGGTCGGAAATGACTCCTTCACAGCGTTTCAAGCTTTTGAATAAAATAATAATACCTTAAAAGGCTATAAAAATAGTATTCGATTTAAGATAAATCTGGCATACATGGCGTATACTTAACATGGAAACCCCCAAATTAAGTATACGCCATGTGTGTCTTAAGGGAGAAGAGCTTTAAAATTTATAAAAATAAGTTGTTCCAGTTTAAAATCAAGTTGGGCAATTCAATTATAAGATCGAATCGGAAATCGATCATAACTAAGCTTAAAAAATGTGATATTTATAAATATTTTTTGACAAATCAAAGTTTAAAATTTTCATAACTAAGCCAAAAGAGCATTAATTTTAATTCGGAAAGCAGTCCCATGTTAGTTTTTAAAAGGTCAATATATCTGCATGCTCAAATTAATATGTAAAAAAATCGGATTTTTTTTATCAATTTTAACGATGTAACCCCTTATAAAATTTTTAAAATTTCAAAAATTTTGAAAAAAATAAATTTTTGCCAAACAATGCTAGTGCGATTCAGCTATCGATTCTGATCAAGAATATATATGATGTATAGGGTCGGAAATGAATCCTTCACTTGATTACAAGGTTCTGACTACAAATGTAATACCATTCTTTGAGCCGATATCTATCTATAGTACCATTTTCCCAAAACCATTTTAAGCATCCTCCAAAATCCTTATCAACCCCTCCAATTCCTACCAACATACTCTCCAATAAATTCGGCAATACAGAAAGATATATGGACACAGACGCGACTTGAGCTATGGCCAAGTGTAAACAAATGGAAATTAAGACAGCCGGCAAGTCCGAGCTCCGGTCAGCGGAAGGGTTGCCTCTGGCACGGAGAGGGAGGTGGAAAATGGGTGGAAAGCCGCAAGTGCATAATGTGAAATTGAGCACGGAAATATCACACATTTCCGCATGCATTAAGTTTTAAGCCAAGTATATACGTACGTGTGTGTGTGTGTGGTATGCGTTACAAAGTTTTCCACTCAGCTTTATGCATTTTTCTTGGCTGTCGTCGTCTACTTGCCGGTTATCTCGCTCCATTTTCTTTCTGTATTTTTTTTTTCTTACCGCCAACAACTGCCCTCCTCCAGGGGGCAGCAACGGCGGCAATTTCCTGCCTCGGCTGCTGTTTGTCTTTTAAACTGAAATAATTTTCCCATTTCTTTTTTCGCCCCTCTTATTTCGGGAGCTTGGTCTGGCTGGGTTTGTATTTTTTCAGTGTGTCCTGGCATAGCCGGTTTTTACACCCCGCTCTATTCAGGTCCTGCTCGGTTTCGCTACCGCTACCGCTACCGCTCTTGTCCTGGCATTTTAGGATCCTTTTTTCCCTGTTTTCTCCTCCTTTTTTTTGCTTTTTGCTTTGTGTGAAATTACAACTTCTGCATTTCCTTTTCCTTTCGGCTGGCTGGTTTTCGCCATGGCTCTGTTTCTGATTCTGACTCTGGCTCTGGATCCTGGATCCTGCTCTGGTTGGCTTTTGGCGCTGCTCCGCTTGTATCCTTTGAGGCTTTTGGCACGCATGAAAAATGTTGGCAAAGGACCGCGCTTGGCACACCGTTGACGTCGACGTTGGCTTCGCAGCCGGCGCTGGCATCATTTCGTTTCGTTTCGGTTTTAATTTTACAGTTTCTCATTTTTAATTGTCTTAAATTCCTGACTGTTTGTGCGTTTTGTTGGCCCAAACTCTGGCCCCCGCCTTACCCCGTTGCGTCCAGGGTCCGTGTTTACCCATGTTTTACTTTATGCATATTTCTCGTCCGCGGAGCGCCAGAGTCGAAAAAGTTTTTTCATTTGGCAGGCGCGTGCTAAATAAAAAATGTTTCCATCCCTCCAAAACTCTAGATCCTGCCACCCCGAGCACGCATATTTATGCGCTTTATTGTTTGCGTTGCAGCGCAGAAGGAGCGGAGAAATTGCAGCAACTTTCTAGTGAAGCAGCTCCCTCTAAGCACTGCGAGAAATTGGGGAGAAATTGAGGGAATTTACTAAATTAAATCCATACTACAAGCTCTGATTTTAAACCAAATAAAATACATATACAATTAAGTAGAAATTTCTCTTTGTGCAGGCTTAGCTCTGGCCACTTTTGGTTGCAACTTATTTAATAAGAAACTTTCTTTTTCCCACCTCTTCCCGTTTGCAGGTGAGAAGCCATACAAGTGCTCCTGGGAAGGCTGCGAATGGAGGTTCGCGAGGAGCGATGAGCTGACCCGCCATTACCGCAAACACACCGGCGCCAAGCCGTTCAAGTGCCGCAATTGCGATCGATGCTTCTCGCGGTCCGATCACCTGGCGTTGCACATGAAGCGCCACATGTGAGGCGAGATCTAAGCCGGGGGTGAGGAGGATGCCGCGGGAGTCCGGAAAAGCCAGCGGCGGGGGACGGGGGACGGGGAGTTCAAGCGGAAACTGTGTGCCATCAAGGAACGATGAAAAACTTGCGTAACGCTAATCAAAACCACTTAATTCGTGGAGCTGAGGAGAGGGAGCGAGAGAGCTGGGGTGGAAAATATGAGGAGGAGGGAGAGGGGAAGTGAAAAATCAAATGAAACATCACAACCAACACAAAGCACAAAGATGGAAATTCAAGTTCTCTGATTCGGATTAATATATATAAATATGTATTTGTGTTGCCGCCATTATTGTCGCCGTTATCGTTTTCGTTATGGTTATATCGTCGTTATCGTTTCAATTGCAAATTCGATTTGTTTCAATGCCTTGTTAAGTGTAAGTTAAGCTATAGCAGCCTGATCGCATTTCCCCCATTCACACCTAGCATTTAGCCGCAAGTTCTGAACAAAAACAGCAAAAATTGTGTACAATTTACCAAAGCTAAGCAGATTTCTTCATAAGTAAAGCAGCAAATAAAAAAAAAACAGCAAAAGCAAACAAACAAAAAAATATATATAAATTAAATGCAAATATAAAATGATATTTTTGTTTTCATGATGTGAACACTGCCAAAATGAAAATGTAAAAAAAATCACAAAAAAGAGAAACCCCTAAAAACTAGTAAAAATATATATATATGTAATGTAAAGAGTAATATAAATTAGTTTCGTATGTCAGCAACAGCAGATAGGAATACAAATATGAGAAAAAAGTAAAGTGCAAAATATGTTGTAAACAAAACAAAGCGAAACACAAAACGCTGAGAATGCTTTTTTTCTTAAACTAATTTTAAAATGTAATTTAAACGTTGCCTAGGTCTGATTATCATTTCATCGCAGCACTCGAAATTGAAGCCTATTAACACTAAATTTAATCAAAAATCCAATTAATTTTCACTCGATATTGGCTATTAAGCGAAAGAGAGAGAGGAGGAGAGCAATTCGGTTGCTGTGCTTTTTAATGAATATACGTAATTATTTAATATTCGAAAATTCGCTTGCGCATTGCCAAGTGATGGAAAGTATTACAAACACATTTTGATATGTTTACCTAGTTTAATCCAAATTGAATTCTCGATCGAAATCAAAAGCTATAACATACAAATTCTTCTTTATGTGCCTCATTAATTTTAACTTAATCAATCAGTAAATTCCTTGTAGCAAAGCGAGTTCCATGGCCCACCTAGAGCGGAGTCTAGAGACCTTGTTTCATTTTGTGGAGTAATTTGCGTGCTGCTCTTTATTTTGTAATGTATCATTTCCTCATTTATTGTTTAAAATGATTTTGTTTAATTTTTAATTATTTTTAAATAAAGAAACGTATGTGAAAAGCGAATATATTTCCATGGGCTACTAATCATTTTCCACCAGCACCCTCGGCAAAACGAGACACGACATCAAAGTATACAACGTTGATCGAAAGCGAATCAATCGGTCAATCATTATGGTTTGTGTGATGAGAAATTCTGTGATCCAGAGAACAACAACAACAAAATAGCTAAGGCAAAGAAAAACCGAAACAAAAAAGAAGAAATAAGTGAAAAACCCAAGCAAGTAATCAATTGCAGCACACGAGCACGGAAAATGCGAACAAAAATCACATACACGTAGGGCTAAGAGGTAGGGGAAACTTTGCCAAAAAAACAAAAAAAAAAAGATGCGAGTCCTCCTCCAGTTGTAAAGTTAGTAAACTCTCGATATAAAAATATATATCTAAGCATAAATGTTTATGTACATAAGGATGTGGAGTACAGTTTTGTCTACTTTTTCTAGCTTTATTCTCACTGATTGTCGATAGGAGGAGCAAGGATGGCCATCGTTATCGATGCCAGTACGTTTGTATGTATGTAGGTGTGTTGCTTGTGCTTTTGAGTGTCCTTTGAGTGTGTTATCGTGTTTGTGTGTACCGAGATATCATCCGATCAGCAGGACCTCTTCCAGCCCCCCAAGTATCATCCCGTTTGGCTTCCAGGCGACCATTTCACTGAACAATACTCGAAACGAAATGAAACGAAAATCCAAAAATCCAAAAATGTCTACGATGTGTCAAAAATGCTTCAATCAAGTTTAGTCTAACTTTTGTGGAAGGAATTAAACCCAGCCCAGTAAGAAATAGAACCCGATGATAAGGAATATTTTGTATAGAAAACCTTTAAACTAAAACTCGAAATGCGTAAAGAATATTTAGATCCTAATGCAGATAGTCTCGAGCGCACAGTGAGCCTCACTTCGGATACGGATAGACAAGAATCTATATATATATATATACATATATGTATTTTACAACCGCAAAAAGTGTATTTTAAAACGAGAAAAAATGCAAACAAAAATTATTGTGTAAAAAGGTAAAACAAAAAATGAAAGACTGGTCAACGAGGTGTTCCGCGTTTATGCAACAATTGCAAAATAGAAAAAGTAAACAAAATATATATATATCTATATGTATATGTAGTATGGGAACCGAAAGCATCAAATATTGTATTCCCAGTGGTATGCATATATACATATAGGGTATTTGGTATAGGGATTATGGCTAAGGCACCACACACACACATTCGATCATTCGATTCTCCGATTCGGCAGCAAAAAACTACGCATACGTAAGGGGGACGGCCTTGCCACAGGTCCCGCAATTAAAGTTAATGAAGTACGAATTTTAAGTAACGCTGAATGTGAGTCTAGAGAGTACTAACCCAAAAGAAACTATGGATATATATTATATTTTAGTGTGTACACTTGGGCATTTTACAAGGAAGCTGCTCCCGGGGGTCAGCTTTTGCGAAGTCAACCAGCCAGCTCCAGCTTCAGCTGCAACTCCTGCTCTCGCTCCTGTCTGAGCTAAAAGGAAAATCTATAAACATTTTCCACAGATTTACAGCCAGAAAGGCAGGATCCAGAAGCCGGAAGTCAGAGTCACAGGGCAGAAAGATATTTGGCAGCTGGCAGCAGAGCTGGCAGGCTGGCAGGCAGGCACACATAAAAATAAATAAAGTATACTAAAACTAGAGTAAATACATTTTAATTTCGTTTAGAGTTTCGTTTGCAAATGTGCTTAGCAATTTTCCCAACCCCCCTCGAGTCCCAGAACCCAGAGCCCGGAACCCGGAGCGGTTCCCATCCGGCGGGACCTTCACCCTCCTCCAGAGCGGAGTATCATAAGCGTTTAGTTTAAGAGTAGACTAAATGGCGGAGGGCCAGGCTTAGTACAGAACATATATATATATACATATACAGGGGGAAAGCTATGGAAAGCCGTGAAAAGCTGGGGAAAGCTGGGGCAGGGGGTTGGGAGTGAAACGTTTTATGTAGACAAATAAGGGCATAACTCGTAAAACATTTTGTGTATAGTTTAGTGAAATGAATTAGTTTAATGTTAAATGAACTCGAAAGTAAACTACATTAAAAGAATATATATATATATGTATGGATATATACACACGGATATGTATTTAAGGGCATATACTATTTACTTGGTACTCGTGTGCGTGTAAGGTGTGTGTTTGCGTGAATTGATGTATGTGTATGTATCTGAAGGAGTCGAGGCGAGGCAAGGCATCAGACGATGGGTTTTTGAGAAGGATTATGCAAAGCATCTACGAATTAAGGCACAGCATTATAAATTACGACTAAAGAGTTACGTTTTATTTGGGCTAAAGTCGCACGAACGAACGGTTACTAGAGCAAGCAAGGTGATGGAATGCAGGTGGTGATTACTTAGAGTTCTTAGGAGATGACTCAGTTCGGACCTCGTTTCTCGTTTCTGTACATGATCGCAACCCCAGGCATGCATTCATACTTATAATTGTAATCGTAAGACAGTGTAATTGATATCAAAGGATAAGAAACAAGAAAAGAGACAACGGAGAATAAAATGGAAAATTCACACGTTTCGGCACTGGGAAAACCAAACAAAAAAAATTCATTTTAGGAGTAAGTGAATCAAAACGAAATAAAAAACAAAAAAAAATAATAATTGTATTTAATGCTTGTGCAAAACAGAAAAAAGAAATCCTTAGCTAATAGCAAATAGCAAAAAATCTAATTGTCAGTGTTTAATTACTATTATTGATGTGCATTCGATGTGTGCTAAGCATCCCTTCGCCCCGATCCCTGTTTTCCATGTTCCTACAGTTCTCGACAATTGTACTTTTTTGCGCATTCGAACTTAGCAATTGGAAAGCAAACAAAATAGGTCTAAACAATTTGTTTGCATCTGACGCAGAGTGTTTGAATAAATTATTAGTTGATTAACTGCGAGAATTATTAATAGAATTTAATTCAATTAGCATATTTTCAGCCTCGCCCGCGCCCCCCTTAACCGCATAGATTATATAATTATAGCAAAAAGCGAACGACAAAATTATTGTTCATTAAACATTATTATTAATTAGTATTATTACGGCTTGTTTGTTGCGGCTTTTTGTGCATCTCCATTCGAAAATCATTTTGTAAGGGGAAACCAGTTATGACAAAGAAAAAACCTAGAAAATAAATCCAGAAAACGAGAGTAGCAGAAACCATTGGGGGCAAAAGGCCAAACCAAAATGATATATATATTAAAAACAAAAAAGCAAATAAAAAGATGAACATTTCTTGTACTTAGGTTTAGTTTATTATACAAACCAAGATAAACCGCAGCGGAATGGAGCTAATAATAACAGCTAAACGTGAATAAGAGGAGAACCACATCCATCAAAACATTAGAAAAACGTTATTTTTATTCTTGTATAAGTATAAACCGAAGGCATTTTTCAACGTATGACAACTATTATTGTACGTAACTTGATATTTTGATGAGAATTTCTGTGAACAAAGCAAAAAATAAAAAATCCCAAAAAAACTGAAATATAGAAAAATATAAAAAAAAACGCACCCTGTCTATTTTTTGTACTTTACTTCTAGGGACTGTAAAAATGTTTTTGCATGGTAAAATGATGTTGACTTTGGCTCCCTCTCTCTGTGACCTGCGGTGTGAATATATTTTACCTTTGTGATTGCAGGCGGCATTCGGCAAACAGTTCACATCATTAGCCCCACAGGATTTTGCAAACCAACAATGATATATACATATAATATATATGTATATATATATGTTAAGGTACACGTCCCAGGCAAGTTGCATAAATGACATTAAAGCACCGGCGGCGCAAGTTTGTCCTTTAATTTGTTAAACCTTGCAGGGTGCTATAATTTTTATTTATTTCTTTCAAAATTTTGAAAATTTTATAAATTATTTGAAGTTTAGTTATGATTGATATCTTATAATTAAATTTCTAAACCAGTTTTTAAACGGGAACAACTGATCTTTATAAATTTTTAAACAATTCCCCCTTAAGACACACATAGCGTATACTTAATATAGGGGTTTTCACGTTAAGTATACGCCATGTATGCTAGATTTATCTTAAATCAATAACTATTTTTATAGTATTATAATTTAAGTCCAAAGCATAAAATACTGCGATGGAGTCATTTCCGACCCCATAAATCATATATATCTTTGATCAGCAGA